AAATTTAATGTTAAAAAACATTCGATTTGCACGGACCGAAAGTCACGCAGAGATAACACGCGATCATGCAGGATACACATGCACACTTCACAAGATGGATTGGACTAAGTTTGCAAGGTTTGTGAAATTTAATGTTCATTAGTCATTCAAAGATTTGTTTAAATTATGTAAATGCATATTTGCGGAATGCTGACGGCAAACGAGAAAGTATTATAATGTTTGCCTTTCTATTACTAATAATATAAAAGCAATCGTTATAATACTTTCTGTATACATTTTAATTCCTTTGTTTAACAGATCTATCGGATTATTAGACAGACTTCTATCCGTATTAGACAGAACTGTTAAAGGGATACTCCACCCCAAAATGAAAATTTTGTCATTAATCACTTACCCCCATGTCGTTCCAAACCCATAAAAGCTTAGTTCGTCTTCGGAACACAATTTAAGATATTTTGGATGAAAACCGGGAGGCTTGTGACTGTCCCATTGACTGCCAAGTAACTTACACTGTCAAGGTCCAGAAAAGCGACGAGAATACTTTTTGTACGCGAAGAAAACAAAAATAACGAGAAAAAAAAGTATTTTATATACAAAAAGTATTCTCGTCGCTTCATAAAGTTACGGTTGAACCGCTGATGGCAGATGGACTATTTTGACGATGTCTTTCATACTTTTCTGGGCCTTGACAGTGTAAGTTACTTGGCAGTCACAAGCCTCCCGGGTTTTCATCCAAAATATCTTAAATTGTGTTCCGAAGACGAACGAAGCTTTTACGGGTTTGGAACGACAACATTTTCATTTTGGGGTGGAGTAACCCTTTAACGACGAGGGCGAACAAGAGGGAGAATGTGAGCACTGTGTGTTCATTAAAATAAAAGTCTGACGCGGCGTCAAAATAAAAGTCCCGCCTCGAATGCATCGGCCAAACAGAAAAACTTATCGGCCGATATTTGTAAAATGCCAATAATATATCGGCCTTGGCGATATATCGGTCGACCACTAATTACTAAATATTACCAGACTATAATTAGTGCTGCAATTTAAACTGTCAAAATATTTGAAATAGCATGCACATTTTGGCATTTATTATTTAGAGATTTTATGTTCTTGACTATGAGGTTCTGTGAGAGTTTTTGTGTCATATTTGCGATTTTGCGTTGACTTGTCGCTCTGTGTGTCAGTGGTCTGGTGATTGCGATGGTGGTCAGCGTTCTCTTTCTGCTGCTGCTGCGTTTCACGGCGCCGGTTCTCGTCTGGGTTCTCATCATCGGCGTTCTGGCGGTCGGCGCCTTCGGTACGGTGACCAGTGTGTTTATTAAATGCTTCTCTTAACTTGTTACACTGTGTTCTCACCAGGTATGACATCCTCAAGTGATTAATCTCATATCTGACGTGTTCATCAGAGTTTTTGTCCTAACCAGCCGTGAGAAACAATGTGCATCTGACGTGTTTTCTGTCATTCGTTCAGCTCAGAAATCTCACTGAAACATCACATGCTTTTATAATGTACTAGATGCTGGACACAAAGTTGCACATGATTTCATTGAAGATTAATGAGTGATTAATGAATAATGAATGTTTCTGTGCTTTTTAGCGTCTAAAATAGCTGATCATATTTTTGATGCCTTATTTATAAATCTTAAACACTGTAAACACTGATGTTAGCTGATAGTGATTTTTCTGTGTCATAATCTTGTGTTCTTGTTTTCTGTCAGGAATCTGGTACTGTTATAATGAGTACATGTCTCTGGTGAGCTCTAGCCTGACCTTCAGTAACGTGGGTTTCACCAGTAACGTGCAGGTCTATCTGCAGGTGCGAGACACCTGGCTGGCCTTCTGTGAGTCACTGCACTTTGTTTTTAGCATTGTTGGCACTTCTGTGTTTCAATGGAATACTAGAACCTTATCAATTCAGTTCAGTTTCTATTTTCAATTCAATGGGCATACAGTATGTGCACAACAAAAACTTTGTTTTTCAACTTCTTGCCAAAGAATTGACCCGTGTACAATGCGAAATGAAGAAATTAATCATAATAAAAAATTTTACAAATAGAGTATACTAATAATATTAACAAATAAAATAAAACTGTTATGAAATTTAATTAAAATAAATTTTATAATAATCAAGATTTTTTTTATTACTCTCGGCCCCTCATACACAATTCCATAATAATTATACAGAATTGTATAAATTAACTGAAAAATGTATATAGATTATACCTTTTTATTAATTTATTTATTGAAGGCTTATTATTTGTTACTGCCCTTTTTCCATAATAAGCGTCATTTCCACTGAAAGATACAAAAACAAAGCAGTTACTTAAAAAAAGTTTTTTTTACTTTAAACACCTTAAAAATTACATCTTTCATAATAACATTTTCACAAATTTCATATACAAATTATATATTTAAAAATCATATTTCTAAACATTTTTTAAAAATATTTTCAAAGTTAATCCCTTGTCAGAGTTTTCAACAATTTCACCACGTTGACAGATAAAACCTTTTTTTTTTTTTATATATATATATATAAATGTGTTACTTCCTTAAGTATACTTTCCCTTATATTCTAATTTTAAATAGCCTCTGAATACATTTGGGAAATAAATTGATTATGTGCTTTATACATTATCTGTTCAATTTCAGTTGACTCACCCAATTTTAATGATCACCCAAATTTAAAGCACATAATTGATAGCTAATTTGCGGTCATTTAATACATTTTTTTAAAAACATCAATCAGTCTAGTGACAATCTTTCTGTCTGTGTTATAGTGATTATTCTGTGTGTTGTCGAGGCCATTCTGCTGCTGGCGTTGATCTTTCTGAGAACTCGTATTCTCATCGCCATCGCTCTTATTCAGGAGACCAGCAAGTAAATAAACACATACACACACATTGGTTTTACTTTCTCTCTCTCTCATAGACATCTCATAGTACTTATATCCAAAACTTGCTCAGAAACACACAGACAATCGGTGCTCATGCACTGCACACATATGTGTAATATTCTCATCGGCAGTCATCAATGCAGAGCAGAATCTAAAAATGATCACATTAATCATATCATCATATTAATGTTTGAACTGATTCGAAGAAGTACAGTTTTCTGTCTATGGGAGTTTGACTTGAGTAGTGAGTAAAACGTGTGTGTGTGTGTTTTCAGGGCGCTGGGTCACATGATGTCAACACTGATCTATCCCATCGTCACGTTTGTGCTGCTGTTGGTGTGTGTGTCGTACTGGGGAATCACAGCGCTGTATCCTTCACACACAAGTGTAAACTGATCTAGATTGATGCATCTGACAAATCAATAAATGTAGATGTGAACAGCCAAGGAGTTATACATAACCAAACTGAAGCAAACCAAATATAACTGAACAGATCTGCTTCAAATGAATGCATCACCAAACTGTGTTTTTCTCCAGATCAGCAGTTATTTTTGTATTACTGACATACTGTATCGTTCTGATTTTATTTTTATATGTTTATACTGTTTCATTTGAATTAAATTTGAGTAATTCTGTTGTGTTTTTGTCATAGTGTATATGGATGTATTCAGTTTTTTCATGTTTCATAGTGAATCTTTAACTGAGCGTGTGTTCAGATATCTGGCCACATCAGGCGCTCCTGTCTACAAGGTGGTGGCGATGAACACGTCACAGGGAGACTGCAGCGTCATACGAGTCAACGAGACCTGCGACCCGGAGGTCTCACACACACACACACACACACACACACACACGCTATATACAGTGCACAGTAAATGAGTACACCCCCTCTAAAACTTAACAATTTCAGCAATTCAGCAATTCTTAGAAGACATGTTAGGGTTCTTTGGAGATGTAATGTTCCAACAAGCCTGCTTGATCCATTACCAAAGAAGAAAGCCAAAATGATTCAGCAAAATAAGATTTTATTATCAAAGTGATAAAATGTTGTGTTGCAAAAATTAGAACACCCTCCTGAAAAAAAAGTGTATAGGTTTAAGGCTATTTTTGATCAACAGGTAAGTATATTGAACCAAAACTTTTAAAGACCAGTACTTTCCTGACAATTAAAAGTGTTATATAGCCCACTGAATCATACTCAGACGTAATGCTGGCAGCAGTGGAACCACTCGGGAGAGAACTGCCAGGTGACTTATTTCTTAGCATAAAAGAGGACAACGGTAAAAGAGGAATACCAAATTATTGTTTTAAGTGATTAAATCTCGGGTGTACTAATTTCTGCAATCCTTCATTTAAACAAAATTGGCTAATTTACTTATCTTACAGAAAATTTTATTAAGTATATGTTTACTATGTTTCAATTTTGCCAGCTTTCCATGAATTATATTAATTATATTAGTGATAATTAAGAAAATACATCT